GTTATAGAACATAGTTAACAGAGAAGCAAGTGGCATATGCAGTTGGGAGAACAGACTCAGATTCTTCCTCCCCCTTCATCCGCATAACTTGATCTTTGGTTTTCACATGCCATTTTCGCTTTGCTTTGATTTTAAATAAAGAATTGACCAGAAGAGAAGTCAGAGGTTCTCGTACTTTATTTTGATAGAACATGGTATACATTTTGGTTATTTGTATTGTGAGCTCCTGGTATTCCACAACATAATACACGATTTCTGAAGTACTGACATTGCCATCCTACATTTTAGCTATTCCCTTTACAAAATAGTGTCATCTATAATAGGATTGGCACAGCTGGTGAAGAATTTTACTATTTTATACCACTCAATGGATAGTGTCAAGTGGAGACAACCTGTATAGACTCAAGCACATTTAGGCTAATTTAGATCCGTTTTTAGGGCCCGAGATTTGTCTAGGAAGGCTCACAGTGTATTTGTTTCGTTTATGACTACTAAGAGTAAGTAAAGTAGAATAGAATCCCTTAAACAATATTATATTATTAAGGTCTCTTCTCCATTCCTTAATGATGTCTAAAAGCTTCCGAGACAGTTCAATATTTATATCCCACATTTCAGTATTCTCGAACTACATCTATCTCTCATATAAATTATGCACCTCTGTAAGGTTCAGTTATAATGTCTGGCATTTTCCAAATGTTCAAATACCAGAAGACCCTGAAAACTATTATACCCTCTCCTCGTAATTACTATTCTATTTCTTAAATAATGTCATTATCCCTAGTAGTAAATTCCTAATATACAGAGTTTTTATGCTATGAACTAGTTCTTAATTTAAACTGTGTTGGCCCTAATTGCTTTTAACATTGATGAAAAAATCAGTTTCATCTTAGAATTACATTTTATTATTCTGCCAGAAGTCAAAATCTCTAGTTGTGATAACTTAACAACTAAAATGTAGAATCTTTCCCAATAACTTTCCTTGTACAGAGGAAAAGTCCTTCTATAGGATATGGTCATAATACTTCCATCAGTAACTCTTAATCATCCTATGTAGTAGGGGGTTAGCTATCATATAGTATTGGTGATAATTCCCTCAACCCTGATGCATTCCTACCTAGTTGTAATACTTTGTGAAAACCTTTAATTTCTCCAATAGTACTCCCTGGAGTTCTAAACTCTTCTAAGTATTAATAGGTAGATGTAAATATGTAGGCTTTTTGTAACAGATCCTTCTATATTCGCTATCATATCTTTGTACAAAAATGTCCTGTTATTTACAGTTTATGTCAAAAATATTCTATCTTTGAAGTCTAGTAACTCTCTGAGTCATTGATAGGATTCACTCTGTTCTACTTCCCAGACTGTACCAGAGATCCTCTGTCATATATCTTGTGAATGAGTTATAGTTGAATAGACAGCAGTGACATATATAGTATTATTCTGATACCTTCAGATCTATAACATTATAGTCACAGGATGTAACTGATTTTGATTTATGTTTGATATTGTGTAGGCCCTGTAAGGAGACCGAAGAGGAGTATTGGAAACCAGAGATTCTGATTTTGAGTAAAGTTACCCTACTTGAAATAATTCCTAGGTATCAGATCCTGGTACTACTCCTAACATGTAGTCTTTCAAAAGGCAAGGATCAATCCAGACCATTTGCTTATTGTATACAAATCTCATAACAATTCTTGAATGCTCACTGGTATTTGGTATGAGTTTTTAGAAAAGCTCAATGAGAATATGAGGGTTTAAGGTAGATATATTGTTCTAATAACTAATAATGTATCAACCTGTTAGGCAGAGACAGCCTGATAGACTTCAGAATTGTCTAGGCTAATCAAGATTCATTTCTGTAAATGGAGATTGTCTAGGAAGGCTCGAATTCGCTTGTTTTGTTTATAACTACTAAGAGTAAAGTAAAGTAGGTAAAGTATGATAGAATCATAAAAACAATATTATATTGTTAAGGTCTCTTCTCTGTTGCTTGATAATTTCTAAATGCTTGGGAAGCACTTTGATATTTATATTCTGTATCTGAGTGTTTACAGACTACATCTATCTATTATACAACTATGTATCTCTCTAATTGTAATTCACAACGTTGGGTATTCTTGAAAGATGCGAATACCTAGAGATCTCAAAAATCACCACACCCATTTCAGTAATTATGTTATAACTATCTAAGAACTATGCTGTTCCCAATAATAAATTCCCAATCATTAGACTCTTTAGACTTATAGCCTTAGTTTTCAAGTTGAACTAATTTGGACTCAATTGTCTCCGTTATTGATGAAATGATCAGTTTCATCTGTGAGTTGTATCTGCGAAGGTAGCCATCATCACAACCTTTCTAGGTTGTCTGACTCTAGACCTTCATAACTTCCTACCCAACCAACAGATATCTTGTGTAGGATTTCCTACTAATTCGCAGGGAGCTATTCCACAGGACTGATAGATAATCCCATGGTTGGCAATCCATGGCTGCTCTGAGTAGTAGGGTTTCAATCGTTGTTCTAGTATTGGAGTTTATTCCTACAGACACGACGTATTCCAAAACCTAGTTGTAATACTCTGTGAAGTCTATTGGTTCCTGTACTAGTATTCCTTGGAGTTCTAGACTCTTCTAGTTATCGTAGTGTGGGTACGAATGCGTTGGTTTCTCATTGAGATTCTTTATCATTTAATATCATCTCTTTGTACGAAATTGTCCTATTACTTATAGTACATACAAAAGAAGTCACATTTTTGAAGCCTAGTAACTTTCTGAGTAGTTGACAGATTTACTCTATTCCACTTCCCAGACCTAGCCGAAGGTTCCTTCTCATATATCCTACAAATACAATCTGGTCAGACAGACAGTAGTAATGTATACAGTGTTATTCCTACACCTTTCACTCTATGGCATTACAGTCACAGGATGCAACTGAGATCAATATGTATAGTGACGTGCTAGCTCTGTGAGGAGGCCAGACGGGGGTGTTGGAGACCATGGTTTCCAATTCTGATAGGGGTTATCCTACTTAAGATAGTTCTTACGTATCGGATCCCTGTATTCATAACACAACTCATCTGTCTTCAGAAAAGCTATCAATGGAATATACTTGTCCTAAATACCCTATATTGGATAATATTATCCTATTCTATTTATCTTCAAATACAACAGCTTGATTAGAGTGGCTTGATATTGGAATTATTCAATCCTTAAAGACAGGCTATTGATGATAATATGTTACCCATATGATAGACTTTTTTGAAAGAACTGGAACCACTACTTTAAAGCTTAATGTACTACAAGTCAATTATATAATAGCTGTATAATGGTAGAAACCATCCACTAGTGTTATTTTTCATTGCTGGTAAAGGTGGAATTGGTAGAAGCCATTGACCACAACTTACATGACTCCTATACTGAGTATATGGAAAAGATTTGCCAAGTAATCCAGATATCCATTAGCTCTCTTTTTAACTTTAGCTATAATAGTCAGCAGGTAGATAGACTTGTTAACTAATTTATAGATTACAATGAAGATTCTCTAGACATTAATACAAGTCCAAATAGTATATCGACAACAGATATTATACATGACTTACACAATCGAGATTACAGCAGTAGTAGTAATAGTAATTCCTCAACCCATCGCATCACTGGAAACAATTCACTTGAGACAATCTCTATCCCTCTTACAAAGGCACATATTAGCTGCATTTTTACCCTTCTTGAAAGATTTCCTACCAATATACTTCCTGTCTCTGGATCCTTATTCCAGATACCTACAGTATTCAACCAACTTCAAAAAATACACCAAAACTTTCAGGAGCATGAAGTTAAGAACAAAAAACAAGTTAACCTTAATGATTGGCTTCAACTTGGTTTCTTATGACCAGCAGGTGCTAGTACAATATCTTCAGAGTTAATCCCAGAGCTATTGAATACTGCCAAATTGATTATCAACATCAGAACCTTCTTCTCAACTCTTCCACTTTTTCCCTATTGTCTTTGCTCTCATGCTGGACCCACCTTCAGACTATTCACAGAGTCTCTATCTGGCTGAGTCTCTTGGGCCTCAGTTCTAGCCTGAACTTAGAGGTAATATCATTCCTGGTTGGATGTTAGATAATGAGTGGAATTGTGATACTGCATACCCTTAATTGGAGTACAGTATTCTCACTTGTCCATAAATTGAATAGTCTATAAATCTCACTTCTTTTGTTCCTTATAGCCGTTGAAATTTACATGAGTTTTGATTTTTATACCCCTGCATATTTACTATTCCCTGTTCACTACACTATAGGGTTTTTTTCCACTATAGCTAACATAATATTTGTGCGAACCCGTTTTTCCTGTGCGCTCGGTTTACTATAACCAGGGATTCACTACAACAAGGTTTACTATGGTCAGGTGCGACTGTATATAGATGCTACTGCTCACTTAATTAGGTGAATTAATCACAAGTATTTCTACCAATCTGCTTTCATCCCCTTTACCTCCTCACTAGAAACATGCCTACAACATCCTCTTTGCATCTGCGTGGTCTGTATTGTTATTAAAATCATTCCTGTTCATTAAATTCCACAAGAGCTAATTACTTGGTATTTACGTATTCTGTGAATCATCACTATAACCTGATATTCTTTCACCATAAGCTTTTTATTTTTATTTTTTATTTTATTTTCATTTTTACCCGTGCTGAGGGTCTGATTTTTGTCGTTCGTTATAGCCAGGTGCAACTGGGCGCCCTGATTTACTCGACACGTGAGTTTTCGGTAGTGTCTCGTGCCCGTCCCTTTGGCCGCGAAATTTTTCGCGTTAAACGGACTGTATCGTGTCCTACTTTGTGTCTTGCCAAAAAATGGCCCTTTTCCCTTTGACCTACGGTATCATACCATACTTGTGGTGATGGTATCTAATCGGGTGGTCTGGCAACTAGGGATTTCTGTGCAAAACCTGTGACGTGATTTTAGCGCACCGTACCTGCTTGCAATGGTTTCACTGCGGGACGGAAGATAAGGAAGAAGAAAAAAAGGTTTCCTTGAGGTTTGCAATCACCAGTAACATACTGTATTGTACGACCACAACATTTACTCCACTGACGAAGCATCCTCAATCTAGCCTATCGCAATCCCTTACTCATCTCCATCGAATTCTAGAGGAGAGACGATGCTACGGGGTGGGCTATTAATCGGTCGCCGACTTACCCTCCAGCAGAGTCCTCTTGCTGGACGGCTTGCTCGACGAAGTTATGCCACCACCGATTTTCGCCAACTACCTCAACCCGGGGACAAACTCAATGGATTTACGGTTCGAAAGGCAAAGAGTGTCCCCGAGCTTGAGTTAGCGGCAGTCCAGCTTGTCCATGATAAGACTGGTGCTGATTATATGCATGTTGCGAGGGAGGATAAGAACAACGTTTTCGCCATCGGGTTCAAGACAAACCCGGATGATGATACCGGTGTACCGCATATCCTGGAGCATACAACTTTGTGCGGATCAAATAAGTATGTTTAACTGCCATGGTGGGGCGTGTGCAACGGCTAATTCGGTTGTGCTCCAAGATATCCCGTTCGTGATCCATTTTTTAGAATGTTAAATCGAAGTTTATCGTAAGTCCTTCTATGGATCGATGGTAATGGATTGAGCCGAGTTTATACTAATTATCCATAGGAATTATATGAATGCCTTCACTTCGAGCGACCATACCACCTACCCATTTGCCACCACAAATGCTGTCGATTATGAGAACCTAAGGGATGTCTATCTTGATGCAACACTTCATCCTTTACTCAAAGAAACCGACTTCAGGCAAGAGGGCTGGCGGATTGGACCAGGGGATGTCGCAGATCCTAAATCACCTCTCCTTTTCAAAGGGGTTGTCTATAACGAAATGAAAGGGCAGATGTCTGATGCTTCGTATCTCTTTTACATTAGATTTCAGGATCACATCTTCCCAAGTATCAACAACAGCGGAGGGGACCCCGAAAAGATAACGGACTTGACATTGAAAAATTTGAGAGAATTCCACAAGAAACACTATCATCCTTCAAACTCGAAGATCTTCACATATGGGGATATTCCCATCGAGACTCATCTCAAGAAACTTAGCGACAGATTGAGTGCTTTCGAAAAGATAAGAGCTGATCAAGAGCTTCTCGAACCAATAAAACTCGATGCGCCGCAAAGACTACGAGTTTATGGGCCGCATGATCCACTCATGGACAAGGATTCTCAGCACAAGATCTCCGTATCCTGGATCATGAACAATACCTCCGATATTGTCGAGACCTTTTCGCTGAGGATTCTATCTAACCTTCTGCTTGATGGATATGGTTCGCCAATGTATCGAGGTCTTATTGAAGCCAAACTTGGATCAAACTTTTCACCAAACACTGGATACGATACCAGTTCTAAGACTGGTATATTTTCGGTCGGGCTGCAGAATGTTAGGCAAGAACATGTTCAACAAGTAGAAGATACGATCCACCGAGTCCTACAGGAGATGTGTGCCAAGGGTTTTGACCCCAAAAAGGTTGACGGAGTATTGCATCAACTAGAGTTGGGATTGAAACACGTAAGTTTACTCAATTCCGGCGCTCTTACGACTCTATTAACGGTTTTAATCTTACAGAAAACTGCCGACTTTGGGATGTCAATTATGCAAAGTCTCACATCTGGCTGGTTTAACGGCGTGGATCCGCTCGAGGCCTTGTCGGTTGAAGAAACAGTTTCAAAGTTTAAAGAATTATATGCCAAGGGCAGGTATCTTGAAGGGCTGCTCGAGAAATATTTTCTTAACAAGAATACTTTCACCTTTACCATGGCCCCCGATCGAGATTACTCGGAGGCCCTTGTAACTGAAGAAGCCACCCGGTTGAGCAGGGAGATCGCAAAATTTGGTGGCGAGATGGCGGCGCGAGAGATACTGACAAAGCAGGAAGCTGAATTAGCGGAGATTCAAGAGCGGGCTAAGAAACAAGATGTGAGCTGTTTGCCAACGTTGAAGGTGGAAGACATCCCGAGGAACATGGAAATGAAGGAGCTGAAAACTGGGGAGATTGAGGGCGTGCCAGTGCAGTGGAGGATTGCTCCTACCAATGGTATTACTTATTTTAGAGGTAAGCCCTTTAAACGGGGAAATCCCGGCGGAAATGCTGGGCTGTTTCTAATGGGAAAATAGCTGTTAGCGGTTTCAAGGACCTCCCGGAGGAGCTGAGAGTGTATTTGCCATTATTCACCGAGGCAATCCTCCGACTTGGCACTGGGAAGCGTTCGATGGAGGAGGTAGAAGATGAGATTAAACTCAAGACGGGCGGTATAAGGGCGTCGACTCATGTTTCGACTAATCACTCGAATCTTGAAGTCACAGAAGAAGGGCTTGTTTTCTCAGGATTTGCACTGGACAACAACATACCAGACATGTTTGAGCTTTTGCGGACGGTGCTGCTGGAGACAAACTTTGCCCAAGTGTCTAAGCTTCGAACATTGGTTCACGGAATTGCCAGTGGTTTTGTGAATAGCCTCGCAGTGAGTGGTCATGCGTATGCTAGGAGGCTGACATCCGGAACTACTAAGAGCCCCGAGTAGGCT